AAGTTTGTACGCCATCATACCGACTATTAAGAAAATGTGTCTACAACGAACGACCTTGAAAATGTAACACCGATAACCATTGAGACAATTCTTATCGGCTAATACGGAGCATTTGCTAGAAGTCTTTCGAAATTGATGTAGAAAATTAAATAATAAATATACCATTAGTGGTATCAAATAATGATGATGCAATATCAACTAAAATGCATAGGAAAGACTAACGACATTGAGATATTCGAAGATTTTCAAAACTAATTCATCGGTCAACGATTCTAAATTCGTTGTCTTTGTCTATCATATGGCAAAATAATAACTCTTTGAATGTCGCTATTTCTTTGCTTTCTTCTCCTGAAAACATAAAAGTAAGGAAAATTTTCAACCAAAAACAAATGATAAATCAAATTGTTAGTTAGTTCAATATATTTTTCATTGGAATAATAGAATTGGGTGTGAATATGGGATGAAAATCCCTTAATTCACACTCACACCCACACACCCTAGTCTAATGAACACCTATGAAAGACTATCTATAGATACGAATTTTTTTGACGAAACAAATCTTCAAATATACCAAGCTATAGTAGATATTGATGAATAAATATTGTTTTTGAAATTTTATTTCGCGATGTTTGTTCACTTTTTTTTACAATTAATGTATAAGTGACATGATAAGAAAATTTATGAGAATCTTCATTTGAATATATTTTATTGAATCAATATTAGAATTTAAGACTATAGATAACAAATTCTAAAATGATTATTAACATTTTAACGTTGTACGACATTGTAAAAAAGCTCAGATCACATAATATAATCAAAATAGTATTACATATTTTTAAACATTAAACGTATTTTGATAAGTAGATAGATTACCTGTATGGAATAACTATGGGTGACTTTCACAGTTTTCAATATATAAGACACTACTTTTCACAGATCTGTACATATTCAAACTAGGGGTGGGAAGTTACCGTTACCGTTTCCGGGTAACGGTAACGGCGCAGTTACCAGTTACCTGGGAACTGGTAACTTTTCCGTTACCAGTTACCGGGTAACTGGTGACGGGGCAGTTACCAGTTACTTTTTCAGGGTAACTTCTTTAAAACGACGAATTATGACTTGCTATGATTGAATTTTGTCGTTAGATTAATTTTTAAATTTCAGAGTTACCTGATAACTGGTAACTGGTTTCCCGTTACCAGTTACCAGGTAACTCCGAAATTCAAAAATTAATTTTTTCACAAAATTCGATCATAAGAAGTCATAATTCGTCGTTTTAAAGAAGTTACCCTGAAAAAGTAACTGGTAACTTTTTCCGTAGCAACCGTTACCGTTACCGTTCTCGGGTAACGGTCCGGGAACGGTAACTTCCCATCCCTAATTCAAACTAAAATTATTAATTGGTACACATAATCATACCATTTTTTCGATGCAGACAGATGTATATATACCATCTAGATAAAGTCATTTAACAAACTCAAACGTAAAATTTTTTATGGGTCTTTGAACCATGAAAATCTTATTGTCACTGTTGAATCTCATTAAAATTTATGTGATTGTCTTTGAAAGAAACTATTTGTAGATTGAAACTAAACAATTATAATTAATCTTGATGAAAAGCATTATATGAAGATCTGTTTGCTTGAAGAAAGATTACTCTTCATTCACGAATGATATTTTATGGCATTTCTATAATATTTCAGTATAGAATGTCTTACTAATATCTAGAATGTAACTCATTAAAATCTTCTAATATTCAGAATTATTGGTTTAGGAGTAATGATATACATATTTCATTCAGTGATACTTTATATCTATATCTACTATCACTTGCGAGTTCATTATTTTTTGTTTTACTGATCTCTGAATAATTTGCGACACTATCGAATAGATGCATATATCCATTGAAATATAAAGTCTGTTGATGATGTTCAACTAAAAATGCAAGTTTATCAACTTTGTCATCATCAGTCTAGCCTCAAAGCAAAATGTAGATGCTAGAGATAAATAATTTCTCTTTTGTAAGTCTAAGTTTATGAAATCACTTTGTTCTATTTTTTAGCAAACTATTTTCCATTAAGATTTTCTTCAATTTTTCAAATTAAAGAATTTCAAAACTAAGAAAGCTTCCGGAAAAAATTTCATTTACATTAGGAAAAGTCTTTAAATATCCTTTCATAACATAATAAATGTCAGCTCTAGAGAACCAGTTCTTGAATATTCGTTCGATTTTATAGTCTTTTTAATATTATGCTAAGCTTATATAACCCACAGATAGATTTTCGTGACGTTAATTGCATATGAATCAATGACCATGTGGAAAAATAAAATGAATATAATGCAATTGAGACTAAAAGGAGAGTAAAAAAAACGTAATATTACGTTTCTTCAATAGTTCTTTGTCTACATATTTTATCGGCACATTTTTATTCATCGTACAGGCACGAATGAAAGAAAAAAACAACGGTAACAATAATAAAAATAATTTTGTGACTTTTCCTTTGTTGATTGATCTTTTCTGAATCGGTTGCATCTTCCGAAGAAACTTAAAAGAATCATTAACTCAACCTTCCAGCCAACGCTTTTTATTTGAGGAAGACAGTTCTGCATTTCAAAAAAAGATATCAAACATACAATACAATAACAATGGTTTTTTCTCTCATTTTTAAATCAAGAAAAACACTCTTCATACCTGCCATATTCCTACCGATTTTAGTCAGCAAAATACCAGCAACTCTTTTTATTATTTCTTGATTGTATACGAGCATGTATGACTCTGTTTTACAATCATATAAGCAGAAATAGTTTTCAATAAAAACATGTTTTGTACTATGGTTTCAATTGATATACATTTATAATACACATAGTTCTAGTGATACATGTTTGGATAGGAGAAGTTTTCCTGTTACCATTGTAGCATTTGTTAAAATTGTGAGAATAGACACAACTTGAATATTACTTCTTTATGAATCTTAGAAATTAATGAAAGAGGGATAGTTATTGAAAAATACGAAAACAAAATATCGTTTTGTTATATATATATTTTTTCGAATGAACATGAATAAAGAAATTACTTCAATTAGACGGTCAGTGATTTAGTATATTCGGCAACTAGATATCATTGTTTAACCTTTGTCTATATAGAAACTAAAATGATGTTTATTCTTGTTTGATTCACATTATCAGCATGTCAATCGTATGCATAATGAGAAAAAAAAACACAGACCATGTCCTTGGTTTTCTTCGTTCTTCTCAGCAAGAGAAAAAAGTTTGGTTTTGAAAGAATCGAAAAAAATATATACAACGCATGAGAAACGATATCAATAAAATGAAACTTATGTTACGCTTCACATGAAACGTAAATGCAAGTGGTAAAAAATAATCATACCATAAATGACGTTGATGGGTTTTTCCCTTTAATTTCTTTTTTTTTGACAAGCATACCTTTGATTGATACTAGGCATAGGTTGTTATTGAGTATCGACGAAAAAATAAAATATTAACATTTGACGTCGTAGAAAAATCTAGAAAAAAAAACAACATGCATCGAATATATAAATACGAAAGGTAAATTCTGTTCATACACATTATTCACCAATACATTGAAAATGAGTCGACAACGACAAAAACGTATGACTGAAAACTATTTAGTCATATGGGTTGATGCGAATATCAATATGAAAAATGAAGATTGTCAATATACACTGTCACAATTACGAGGTATTGTTAATGAAGTCAAATTATGCATTACAGCAGAAGAATGCATCAGATTACTCAATGAAAACAAGGAGGAGACATCTTTCATTATCTCCTCTGGTAAACTTGGACAAGTTCTTCTACCATCTATTCATGGAATGCGGAATCTTAATACTATATATATCTTTTGTCGCAACAAAGAATATCATAAAGAATGGGCTAAGCATTGGACAAAAATTAAAGGCGTCCACAAAACAATCAAATCCATATGCAAAGCATTGCAAATAGCTGTCAAGCAGTGCAATCAAAATAATACAGTGGTCAGTATAATTAGTGCTGATGCAGATGGTTCTAGTCAAAATCTCAATCAGCTAGAACCATCATTCATGTATACCCAGATATTCAAGGAAATACTCCTTGATATGAAACATGATCAACAAGCTACCAAAGATTTGGTCGCCTTCTGCCAAGAACAATACCAAGGCAATACTAACGAACTGAAGTTAATCGATGAATTTCAACGTACTTATCATCCAACATTGGCCTTATGGTGGTATACACGCCAATGTTTCACCTTTAAAATGCTCAATCGTGCATTACGAACACTCGACGGTGACCTAATCATTAGAATGGGATTTTATCTATGTGATGTTCATCGACAAATTGAACATTTACACAGCAAACAGGTCAGTCAGTATCATGGGGAGTGCTTTTTAGTTTATAGGGGCCAAGGATTATTGCCAGACGATTTCGAGAAGCTCGCAAAAAACAAAGGTGGTCTCATATCGTTTAATAATTTTTTATCCACCAGTGCAGATCGTGATGTCTCCTTCGCTTTTGCCGAAAGCACCTTAGGAGCAACCGATATGATCGGTATTCTCTTTCAAATGTCTATCGATCCCACGGTGTCATCAACACCCTTTGCCTCCATCAAGGAGGTTAGTGATTTCGTGCAAGAAGAGGAAATTCTCTTCTCGATGCACACCGTCTTTCGAATCGGTGAAGTTCGAAAAATTGATAAGAAAAGTCCACTTTATGAAGTGGAACTCAAACTTACGTCGGATGACGACCAACAACTTCGTCAATTAACCAATCGTATACGAGAAGAATCTTCGAGTAGCATTGGATGGTATCGAATGGGTAAATTGCTGCTCCAAATAGGTCAATTCAACAAGGCCGAAGAATTGTACATAGCACTACTAGAGCAGGTTTCTAACGACAGTGATAAAGCGTATATCTATCACCAGCTGGGAGGGGCGAAAAACGACCAAGGACAATACAAAGAAGCAGCTTCCTTTTATGAAATGTCTCTCAAAATTGAACGAAAAACTCTACCAGAAGATCACCCTTCATTAGCTAAAATCTACAACAACATCGGTCAAGTGTATAGCAACATGGGTGACTACTCGAAAGCACTTGAATTTTACGAAAAAGATCTCGAAATCACGAAAAAAGCTCTGTCTCCGAATCATCCCGATTTGGCTATTTCCTACAACAACATCGGTCTCGTGTATAACTACATGGGTGACTACTCGAAAGCACTTGAATTTCACGAAAAATCACATAAAATAAGAGAAAAAGCTCTGCCTCCGAATCATCCCGATTTGGCTACTTCCTACAATAACATTGGTGGAGTGTATAACAACATGGGTGACTACCCGAAAGCACTTGAATTTCACGAAAAATCACATCAAATCTACGAAAAAGCTCTACCTCCAAATCATCCCTCATTCGCTACTTCCTATAACAACATCGGTGGAGTGTATAAGGACATGGGTGACTACTCGAAAGCACTTGAACTTTACGAAAAATCACTTAAAATAAAAGAAAAAGCTCTTCCTCCGAATCAACCCGATTTGGCTACTTCCTATAACAACATCGGTGCAGTGTATAACTACATGGGTGACTACTCGAAAGCACTTGAATTTTACAAAAAAGCCCATAAAATAAGAGAAAAAGCTCTCCCTCCGAATCATCCCGATTTGGCTACTTCCTACAACAACATCGGCTACGTGTATGACAACATGGGTGACTACTCGAAAGCACTTGAATTTTACGAAAAAGCGCATAAAATAAAAGAAAAAGAACTGCCTCCAAATCATCCTAATTTGGCTCTGTCCTACAACAACATCGGTGAAGTGTATAACAACATGGGTGACTACTCGAAAGCACTTGAATTTTACGAAAAATCACATCAAATCTTGGAAAATGTTCTGCCTCCAAATCATCCCAATTTGGCTAGTTCCTACAACAACATCGGTCTCGTGTATAACAACATGGGTGACTACTCGAAAGCACTTGAACTTTACGAAAAATCACTAAAAATAAGGGAAAAAGTTCTGCCTCCGAATCATCCTAATTTGGCTATTTCCTACGGCAACATTGGTCAAGTGTATAACAACATGGGTGACTACTCGAAAGCACATGAATTTTACGAAAAATCACATCAAATCTTCGAAAAAGCTCTACCTCCGAATCATTCCTATTTGGCTATTAGTTACTTGAATTTTGCAGCGTGTTACGAAAAAATGGGTGATTACGCCACAGCTCTTAAGGCTCTTCGAAGTGCTTTTCAAATTCAACAACAAGCATTTCAAGAAGGTAATTCAGCTTTTACTTCAACATATAGTTGGCTCGGAAGAGTTTATCGCAGTATGAAAGATTATTCAAAAGCACTTGATAATTTCGAAAAGTGTCTCGCAATAGATCTAAAAACGTTTCCTGAAAAACATCCCTATCAGGCTGTTGCTTATAGTAATATTGGTGATGTTCATCGATTAATGGGTAGTTATGAAAACGCACTTGCATTTCATCAAAAAGCATTAAATATTCAAGAAAATGTTCAATGTAATCCTCTGGAATGTGCAACGACATATATAAATTTAGGTGAAACTTATCGTGAAATGAAAGATTATTCAACAGCATTGATATATTTCGAGAAAGGATTAGCAATACGTGAGAACAAATTACCAAAAAATCATCCTGATTTAGCTGTTGTATATCATAATATGGCAAAATTATATTTGGCTACACGAAAATATAGTATGACAATGAAAAATATTCAACAAGCAGTTGAAATAGCTCAAGAAAAATTACCTTCAACTCATCCTCATCTTTTGGAATATAAAGAAACATTTGAAAAAATTCGAAAGAAAATGTAATTTATTATTTTTTTTTCATTTACTTGTTCAATAAATTGGTTTTGATTCTTTTTCACTTCCCGACTTTTCTAGGCTCATTTTCACGCGCACGCGCGCACGCGCGACCAGGGAGAGGCCCTATGCGTATGAAACGGGTACACACAGAGCGGACCACGCCGGACTGGTAGGGCAATGTACATAGATGTACCGTACATAATGACGGCAGGGACCTACGTACATTAAAGGCCTTCCCGAGTACTACACTGCTTTCGCCATTCCATGACGAATAGAATCTCTCTCTGGATCAGGTTACGAAGCCACCTGACAAGGCTGTGATATAAATTGGTATCTATCTTCTAACATAAATAATATAGACTTAACATAATAACACTATACACTAAATGTGTACAACAACGAAGAAAAAACTTATTTCATCCGAAATAAATCATCTATATCTCATTCTAACATTATCTCAATGTAAGTATTGTAATGAAAATTTAATTTAGAATTGTTCTTCCAAGAAAACAGAAACGAAGTTTTCTTTTTAATCTTCCAACTATTTCTTTATTTATTCAAGTCTTTCTCAAGATAAATAAGATAATTTTTGAAACAACATACCCATTCTTGTTATTGGTATAAACCAATAATAAATCATGTTCTTTTTTAACATTCTCATGTTTCTTATAATTTCATATAATTCATAAAAAAAAACAGATGAATTCTGAAAACATCATAGAATAAATTTCTATCATAAACCAATATATCCTAACATATATTATCATTGAAATCAAAAACATTGTAAAAAAATATGAATCATAATATAACATCATTGAATGAATGAATTTCATTATAAATTAATGCATTGTAAAGCAATGAATTTAAATAACATCATTCAATAAATTTCATTCTAAAATAATACATTGTAACACAATATCATACAATAAGTTTCATTGTAAATCAGAACATTTTAATACATCATGAAATTGATAAATTTCATTGTAATATAATGCATTTATTGAATTGTACAGAAATGAATTTTAATAACACCCATCCCTAGATTTCGTTCTAAAAAAAATGCATCATTATATAATATCGACCAATAAATATCATCGGAAATTAATGTATTTTAATTCTTTGCGTCCCAAATTATTTCTGCTGCACGCTGACACGTCCAGATAAAAACCAACATGGTCGCATACGGATTCACGCGCGCACAACTACACACCCATATCTACTAATTCGATACCCACCACATCCACACCGTTGAACATTCTTTATTGCTACATTTCAGTAAATTAGATAATAATTATTAAACATGTATAGATTTCTTTTTCCTACTATAGAATTCAAAGGTTTAACATAACATTATGTAACAAATTTCATTATAAACTCATACGTAGCATTGCAAATATATTTCATTTATAATATTGTAAATAATTATAAATTGATAACTGTATGTCATTCATGAAAAATCATAATGTAAAATAATACTAATTATTGTAAGTAATATAAAAAATTGTAAACCGTGAAAAATAAATCATGTGAGTGTCATGTTTTATCTAAATTGAGCATGCTCGTGATTTGTTCGATCAAATCGTATGAGAGTACTAGTGAAAATGTGTTTCTTATATATATGTGTTCAAACATACACATTATCAATCAAAGACATTCTAATGATGTTGATATCAATTTGATGAACGATAATTGACGATAATGTGCACATTCGAATATAATTGATTTGATTAATCATCACATGATTAATTGAAATGATGAGACACGAATTAATTTCATCGTTTTTCATGTGCATGGATGTGAATACTTGTTCTTTGTTCATATACAGTCCTTCATGGACAATACATATTCTTTTCTTTCTTTTTTTTGGATCAGAAGAAATTTCTATTCATCATCATCATCATCATCATCATCGAAAGAACAAAAGCAATTAATTTGAATCATAAATCGTAGAATTATTTTTTCGTACGACTTTTGAAAATTGATTAGAGTGTATTATTCAAATGAACATATTCATTTTCTTGGAAACACAAGATCAACAAGTCTGTTGAATACGACTGTCCCAGGTGGATCATTCCGGCCGTCGGAAACGGCGTCGTATCCGGCCTGAAACGACTATAAAACGGCGAATTACTGCAGTAATTTTGGCCTTATTTCGCCGTAATCCGTCATACCGTATTACGACCACCGTCTATCGCTAGAAAACGGCGATCGTTTTTTTCCGGTTTTGCTTCCGTAATCTGGTATGACGGATTACGGTGCCGTTTATCGACGTTTTACATCGTTAATCGCCGTTTTATAGCCGTTTCAGGCCGTTTGCGACGCCGTTTTATTGGGCCTGGGGTACTGTCATTACATAAAAACTCGTTAAGGCAAAGTCAAATAACTGTACAGAAAATTAAAAAGTTTTCATAAAATTTGATTTCTATCCCATCGAATGAATATTTCTGTTGAAATTAAATCACTAATATCCAGTTGGAACTTTTAAACGAGTATTGTTATCAATTGAAATAAAATTCTTTATTAAGAAAAAAAAAATTGAAAATAAGAATCACTTCAATACGTTTACTTGAAGATAAATTTCGATTTCACATGATTGATTTGCTGATATATTATCAATTTTTCAGTTGAATATTGATAGTAGTAAATAAAATATGCATACATGATTCAATCTGAACAAACACTATCACTAGCACATGACTTATTTTCTGTCAAAAACCAATTTTTGTTTTCGTCAATATTATTATTTTTATTGTACTCGAAAAATACCTAAGGAGCGAGCTTTTATCATTCGACTCGTGTGAAAATACTTTTGACTTCAAAAATGAAGAAATATTCTCTCAAAATGTTTCGTCGATACGTAGGATTAGTAGATGAAAGTTCTACAAGTGAAAACTTCTTTGCCACTAAACTGAAAGAGGAATGATTTTCTTTAGAAAAACAATTTAAAATTAAGAAGTTGGTTTTTACTTTTGAATAAGTAATCTTGTTATTCATCCATCAGATATATTAATTCGATCATAGGGTTTCTATCATGTTGTTTGTTCTTATTCATATGTAATTATTATTGATGGATATGAAATAACAGATCGATTTAAAAATTTTCTTTTGTTTTCCTAGTAAATAAGAGTTTTTACTGTCTACCTTGTTTTTCTATTATTAATAAATGATTACTCAAGTTTTTGCACAAAGAAAGAAAAAATAACTTTAATGTTGTTTTTTCAGATCTATGTAAATGAATAATATTTCATATTCTGAATGAAAATCATTTTTTTAAATATATTTAAATAAATCAACGATGAAATTAAATATAGCTAAATTAGTCATTTACAAAAATTCATATAAACAATCATTTAACTTAGACTATTATCCTTTCATATAATACTATAAGTGATTAGCTTTTGGGTCTTGAGGCCTAACATCGTTGACAATTTCCTTACAAATATGAACTAACTTCCAGCTAGAGTCGAGTTTGTTACACCAGTTAGAATTTCATTTAATTACGTTGACGGTTGCCATATCATTCGTGCAGATCAACAATCAACACCAGGAAAAAAAACTTCTATTGATTTTGAAGAAACTAGAAAAAAATTAGATTATAAAACAAAAAAAACAAATCTTCATTACATATTACTTTCGTCTGTTATAAATATAACCGATTGACTATATAAATATTCTTTATCAATAGAATCTAATGAATCACAACGAATTCTAGCAAATGTTCCATCTATTGAATCAATTCCAATATTTGCTGATGATAAATTATTAAATAATAATTCTATTTTTAATGATTGAATTCTATTCATTGGTTGTAACAGACGAGAATATTTCATTTTAAAGAACTTTGTCAGAACAGATAACAAACGTTCAATAGATAAAGTCATCTATACCATTTTCTAGAGCAACTCGTGACGTATCAAGTAGTAATATTCTGGCCAGCCATATACCAGTTATGGAATGTTATAGGATTGGTCACTTTTGCCCTCAGCAACAACATTCAAGAATTTGAAAACTTCATTAAAACCAAAAACTACAGATCCCAGTAAAAATATTAAGATTTTGAATAGGAAAAAAAGCTATTTGTCAAAATTATTAGATATACACGATTGAAAAACTATATAAGCTATCTATTTTATATATCTTAACTGGTCGAGTGTGATTGGAAAGGTTTTATATGACATGTTTGTTCATTTTTGTCCCACTAGAAAGGATTTCCAACGAAACACTCTTGCCGAATATGAACTTAGAAATTTCATTTCAATTTTTACATTTTCACTATTATAATTCGAACCTAAACGTTGGAATCTTAATTTAGATGTTCCCTTGTAATCTACTTTTTGACTGAAAATCGTGTTATGTTGAAAGCATCTTTTCTACAAAACGGTATCGATGGTCAACTAACGTTTGTATTTGATAAAGTCTATTAGGATATTAGTCATGGACAAATAATATTTATATTTACTTGAGTATTTTGCCTATTGTAAATAATATCTTCTCATCTGGATTTAAATAATATATCGTAAAATATTTTTTTCTACTAGTATAACTAAGTGGAAATTTTATTGCTACAGGACGTTTTAAATCAAAACCTTGTCTAATTTTTGCTAATAAATTATTCACTTTTTGGATGTTTTTAAATTAGGTTCGATTTCAATTATTGAAATATTAATGAAATTCGATTGTGTGTTATTCATTTTAATACCATTCGACTTCATAGTTGATTAAATAACCATTAATTTCAAATAGTTATTACCAATTTATGTTAAATTTTCTAGTTGATCAGGAATTTGGAAGAAAAGAATCTTATCACGAGAAAGCAATGATGAATAGAACCTCTGTATTAGTCTATTTGAAAAAGCAAATATTTAGCAAAGAGAAAAACAATCAATTATGTGTTTGAATCTTGGAAGATGTAAGGTAAAATTGTGATGAACTCAATGCATTATGAACAATATCACGAGCTATCTTCTTTAGATTCATTTTACTAATACGAAACACATAAACTTAAG